ATCGTAAGTGGTCCTCCATGAGCCTATTACAATAAAAGCTTATAATAAACAAATCTATCCAATCTCAGTTAGTTTTGACCACAAGAGACAAAATTTCTATAAACTTTTAATAAGTTTCTTCTAACTATATCCCTTTAGTTGTTTCCATAACATTTTCTATTCTTTTAACTTGAAATAACCTTTAAATAACCTTTAAACTAGACAAATTTTTTCTTTAATGAAAACCACACTACATCTTTATGCTCTTTTTATAAGCTTCTTTACCAAAAAGTACATCCTACTTTCCTCACATCCTACTTTTCTTAAACACTTGTATATTGAATTGTTTTTCCTATAGCTAGCAGTTTTAATTATGTATATTAACTATAATTTTAATGTTTAGTAACCCTAATTTCCAGTGGTAAAAACCTAGGAAATAAATAATTTCTAACTGTATTATATCAATATTTGTAGATGAGAATCATTTCCTAATTTTTGCAAAGACGTACGTTCTAAATATATTTAATTTGTTAAATATCACATAAAAACAAAATGTCAGAGTATATAAACTTAAACTTATGTATAATAAATAATATTTCAGTATTTTAACTTACTTAGAAATGACTAAAACATTCATGGCTACTTATTACTTAATTTACCATAACATGACTTTAATATTTCAAACTACAAAAAGAATTTTTGAAACAATGACAATTTCATTTATAAGCATTTAACCCCTTCATATCTGACTAATTTATTCATATGAAGCTAAACCTTTATCAACCAGTATTAATCAAGGCCATTGAGATATTGGCCATATGTTACACTCTCTTTGCCACCTCTCTCCCCTGGGTGATGGAGACAGATTTCAAAAGTTGTGCTGATTTTGGAAGTCAATCTTTTTGACTACTAGAAGGAGAGTTTGTCCCAAAGTTACAGCTGCGCAGCCATATTCTGTGTAATATAACAGTAGATAAATTAAGTATGGTCATCCATTGTGGAGAAGCAGAACTACCTGTGATAATTTTATGAAAAGGTGCCATATCTCTCACTGGGAAGTCTGATCCCCGGTAGGAGGAGGTGGTAGGTGCCAGGTTAACAGGGAGAATGGAGCACGTCCACTTCCATTTTCCTCTTCTGAGACGGTGGGTTCCAGTGCTAAACACACACAGTGACCCTCACTGGCTTGGAGCATGCATACTTTTATTTCCTCTTTTAAGTTGTTAACTTCACTTTCTCCTTTAAAGGTGTGAGATCTTTCAGTTATTTTAATCACTTGAATTAAATCTTCAGTTGGATATTTTTGCTCCATCATAATATCAAATATCAAAATCAACACCAGGCTAATTTTCCATCAAAATGCGTTTATAGTACCTTGTAAAATAGATAATTTTGAGATAGATCTTACAAGCTGCACAAATCTGGAAGCATATTTATATTTCCTCTAGTTCTTTTCTGGTAAATTTTCAAACCTGTACCTACTGATGATGTCAGAAGGTGGGTGCTCTCTATCAACAAGAGAAAACTTCTCCCATCATTTGGGTAATGCACAAGACCGTAATCATGTTTTCATCAATGTGTACTGAAGAGCGTATTTAGATGTTTCATGCACAGCTCCTCAGAATGATGTGTGTTCACTGCTGTCCTTCTGGTTTTCAGTCTGATTGATTTTAACCTGTGAATAGTTAAAGGAGATACAATGCTTCATAGTGTACATTTCTGGTACTCCAATGGTGACTTCACTTTTCAAGTTTTGCTTTATTCAGGAAACAATGGTGACATTTTATAATCTGCCAGCGCTACTTTATTTAATGTGTTCCTGACTGGGTCAATGTTGAAAGGTGGCCTCTCAATGAGTAATGTATAAAGCATACAGCCTGTGGACCAAGCATTATATTCAAGAGCATGTGTTTTTTGCAATTTCTAGGAAAATGCAATTAGGAGTTCCACATAGAGTACAGTGCTGTTTATATGGCATTTTCAAATGAATTGATGGCCCCGAATTGGTGACATCAATGTTCACATTATGCATAAGAGGGGAGAAACTGTGAATTCCCACTGTACAATTATAATGAAGATACCCATTCTTGTGATGATCTGGTGTATGAAGTGTCCAGCTTCACTTCCTGAGAAGACTTTCATCCTGTTCTTTAGACACCTGTTTCTTTCTCTATTATGGTACATTTTTAATACCAGGTACACATACTTGCTATCTTCAAAATAGTTATGAAGCTCCAAGGTAGAAGGATATTCCACTTGGCCATGTACTTCCACCTCATGTTGGACTCTACCATTAAAGCTTTCTTATCAATCATTTTGACAGAAACTTCCAAACCAGTGTGAATGGACTTAGCTCTGTAGACACCAGCAAATGATTCCTTGTGGAGCAGATTTCCAACTTGGAAACACTCCATCTTCTTTCTGATGAAGGTTACCATATTTCCAGGCATCCATTAAGCTCAGTTCCCTAGGCTTCAGCTTCTATTGCAAAGATAGAGCCTCCTAAAGGTCTCCAGGGTACCTTCCAAGGTCAGAGACATGCCTCAAAGCTTCCACTTTGAAAAGCCTGGGCCACTCCTCCACACAGCAGTGATGGGAACAGAAGTAGGTCTTCTTACCACCTCACCTCCACTGATCTCTTATTACTACAGCACAATAGAAAGTCATGTGTGAATTGAAAATTTTGGAGGGACTTACGCAATCAAGTATCCAATACTTTGATAGCAAAAGGTCAAAAGGAACAGAGTTCTCTTATGAGAGAATTTTTTCCTACAGAGAAGGTTGTACTGTACAGTGGTTTAAAACATTCTGGAGTCAGATTTCCTGGGTTCCTTCTTTTGCTTTGTCATGGCTGTGTGGCTTTTGAAGACACTGAACTCCATCAGGTATCAATTTCCTTATAGGAAAAAGTAGCTAGAAGTAGTACCTATCTCATAGTTTCATTGTAATGATTAAGTGAATTAATATATGTGTAACTTTTAGAATAGTAACAGGCATATGGAAGAATTAAGCATTAACTATAATTATTAATTTATAGTTTAGGAAAGTTGCTCTACCAGAAGATTTTATATATTAGGTGATTCCGATGCCCCCTGACAGAATTCATATTTTTTTAATATTTACTTCCTGAATTGTATAAGGTTAGGTCGACAAGAAAACTTATATGTTTGCTTGTGTATCTAATACTAGAAATTCAGGTGAAAAATTTCAAGTAAGCTGCAACGATCGGTTCAACTTTAAAGGTAAGTATCTAAGTTACGTCCTGTAAACAAACTGTCCTCATCTTTCCAAGAAGAATGGATCATCTCCTATTCTGTGCCTCTAGCACACACACGTTGTATTATTACTTTAACAATTAGAAAGGCAATTGCCCAACAGAAATACAGTCTGAAGTCTTGTCCTTGAGAGATGATTGAGATTAGGAAAAAAAGTGCTTTGCTAACTTTTAAGCATTAAGCGCTGGAAGAGTGCCTATGCAAAGGCGAGTTGTGCGGCTGTGTGTTAAGGAGGCCCCTCTCTAGAAGGGTTCCTGCAGATACTGCGTGCACTTCTTCTCAATATTTGGAGCCAAACTACCTGGGTTTATACCCTAGCTCTGCCTCTCATTATGTTCTTGGACACATTTCTTGATCTCTTGGTATCTCAATTTCCTCATTTGTAAAATAATAGTACCTGCTTCATAGTGATACTTTGAAGATTAAATGAGTTAAGCTATAAAGATCACATGGAGCAGCAATTGTCAAAGCAAGCTCAAAGTAAGAGTTTGCTAGATTGCCTGAGGTGCTGAAGATGGGATTCATGCCTTGTGTGGACCATTGTCTAAGACTTGGCAAGAACCTTAGAAACCATAGTAACCATCAAGTGCATGTTTATATGACAAATTTTTAGCCTGTAAGAACTTTTAACTTTTCAATTGTTTATTGTGACACAAAAAACTTCTATGGAAATAAGTAGATTTCTATTTCTAGCTCATGGCTGACCAATGACAGCCACATGACTATGCACTGACTCCTGCTTAAAGGATGTAAGGAGCTCGGAGTGGTGAGCCTTGAGCTACCTCATCTTTGTGAGCCCAACTGTATTAGCTTGCTTCTGTTGCTTATAACAAAAACCTGGAACTGCGTCATTTAGATTTATTGCTCACAGTTTCTGAGGCAGGAAAGTCCAGAGCAGAGCAGAGACTAACCTCCTCATTCACTCTTTTTAAAGCCCTCAGAACCATGCCCATAACCACCATTTCTAATCCATTTACCATGGCATGGTCCTGTAATCTAATCACCTCTTTAAGGCCCTACCTTTCAATTACCATAATAGGATTTCCCATCCTCAGCAGTTAACAGTAGGGGTCAAGGAGATTGGGGGGGCGGTGGCATCCAGTCTACAGCACCAGCTCTGTCATCTCTACAATAAAGAGTTTGGCTCAGATGACTTTTAAGTTCTTTTCAAGCCCTAACTTTCTAGAATTCTATTATTTAATAAATTCATGCCAGAGTGTGAGTGCCCAATAACCTCAGCCTCCCAAGAGAAATTGATTTCAAAGGTGATCTCTTCTTGTTAGCTTAGATTGATTTATTCGTACAGTCATTCATTCTTTTATATATTCATTTAGCTGATATTTACGAAGTATCCACTGAGAACTGGGAATGCCTGGGTCTGGTACACAATACAGAGTGTTCCTGGCATCACAAAGCTTATTGTGTAATGAGAATACAGACAAGCAAACAGGTAATTATAAAAAAGAATGATACTGACATAGGGAAAGTACAGGTATCTGTTAGCCCTGCAGAAGGGTTACCAGTGGGAGTAGGTCTCATCTGGAGGAATATATAATCACAGTTACACATGAAACAAGATTTATTATATCTTACATACATTTTTATTTATTGAATTTCATCATTATATTCCAATTATGAAATATAGATCACACTACTTCTAATATTATTTTGCATACTTATCTTTTATTAGTTATCTTTTGTTGTAAGGAATGCACAGATATAAGAAAAAATTTATTTTAAAAACTCATAGTGTATTATTAAGACATTGCATATTATTAATTCAAGGGTCTTATATAATGAGCCAGAATATATGCAGATGTGTCTTTGTTTTGATAAAATGCACCCTTGCTTGGGTTCCATTAACCTTCCTTCAAAAGGGATTTCTCAGTTGCACTTCTTACACTCTTTAGGAAATTCATGATATCGGTGCCTCCAGTTCCCTTGTTTTCCAGTTCTGATGGCTCTTCAGAGGCTTCATTTTTCCCGGACTGCTGGCGTGCAGGGATCACAATGTACTTGGCTACTATTTGCAAGTGGTAGTTCCTCAGGGAGACCAGAGCTCTCACACACTCATCATAAGCTTCCTTCAGGCTGGCATCACTGTTGGACAGGACAAACTCGCGGACAGAAGGACCTGCCTCTAATGAGTGAAGAAAGTCCTGGTGAGCTGGTGGCATGTATGTTCTCATTTCCTGGAGGAACTTGGCAGCAGATTCTATAGGAACAAGAGCAAGATTTAGTGACAGGGAGGCTAAAGCATCCCCCAATCCAGAGTGAAGTCAGAGAGGGTGGGGGTCATCAACCAACACCTCTGCAGGAGGCTCTGGGGCTAAGACCATCCTATTTGAGGCCAAACAGTGGTTAGTCTTGCTACTAACAGTGGTGATTCTTGTAAAATATTGTTAATTCTGAAAACCAGATGGGCTAACTCATTCTTTCATAATAAAGATTTTTGTTTGTGCTTTATCAGTTTTTTTTTTGCTGTATTTGCTCCTTCCTGGAAGCCAGTGGTATAGACAGGGTATATGTATTGACAGATCATGGCACTGAGTCTAAGAGATCATTTTTAATTAAGGAAAAGTCATATTGTTATCCAGCCCAACACTTTATTCTTTGTTACATAAAAGTTTAAGAAAACAGAGAAAAGAAAAAGAACTTCTCCCAGAGCTTCTTCCTCTCCTAAGCACCTGGGAGAAAAGTAATGAATGTGCCACATCGTCATACTCTGACACAAGCGTTGACGGGCTCTCCAGGCGCTGGATCGTTAACCTTGTCACTAAGGTGTCCACCTCCCTATTCTCTACTCACAGCCCTGTCTCATTGGCAGGTGACTTCCTCTTTCTGAATCTGATCATACACCTTCAGAGCATGTGATACTAGCTGCACCAGTCAATCAAGCTTTACATACGAGTGATGAACTTGGTTTTGAGTATTGGCTCTGCTGCTTTCTAGCTGGTTAAACAAGCAGTTAGTTTCTGCTTCTACATCTGTGACATGGAATGATGGTATGGAAGTCCCTACTGCGTTGATTCTCCTAAGAGTGCCATATAAGCCTAGAGATGTTGGTGGGAAGGCGCTTCTTGGATATCAAAACACTAATGTATCAACCTAAGAGATGATCATTGCCTCTCACTCTCCACTCACCTCCACCAGCACTCTGCTGGATACCCAGCAGGACATCAAAGCATTGAAAGATGCTGCTTTGGGCTGCACTGCCCCCTGCGAACTTCTTTGGGGTATCCCAGACCCCCTCATACAGCAGACCCTCTGGCAGCTGGGAGTTGCCTTTCCAGCTAGGCCGGAGAGAAAAGAAACATTTTTCTTTGGATTAATTGCCAATTTTCAGATATAAAATCTTGCACTAGAGGTGAAGAGAAGGTGACAAAAAGTAGATGTCACAATTCTTCTTGCCACCCCTTCTGTGAGAATAATGACATAATTCAAAGCAAATTTGGCATAAATTTTCCAGGAATGGAATCTTACCTTTGCCTTTGCATTAACACAGATCACTCCAATCTTTTTATTTTATTTTATTTTATTTTGGTGGCTGGGTGGTACAGGGATTGGATCCTGGACCTTGATGTTATCAGCACCACACTCTAACCAACTTAGCTAAGCCGCCAGCCCTCCAATCTTTAAAAATGACTAGCTTTCCTGTGTTCTTCCAGGGCATCCCTGGACAAGTAATAGCAGAGAAAACAGTTTATTCTTTCTCTACAACATGTGTCTTAGGATATAAATTGTTACATAAACCTAATGGATAGTACAGACCATCAAGGGGAATTTGATGTGTTTTTTATGTTAATTGAGAGAAAACAAACTCAAGCATAAGACTACATACCCAGACAAATAAATACGAAGAACACCGAAAAATAGTTTTGGGTCCACGTGTTCTGTAAAAAGATGGAATGTGTTTAATTAGGCAGCATCAGAGGTACACAGGGAAATCAAGGTGCTGTGAATAAGTGGTAATGGATCTCAGCACGGGCTGCAGGAAAGGCATTAGGTCAGTCTGTACTGAGCAGTGCCGCTGCAGACAAGCCCACCCTCTCCTGTGCACCCCCCAGAGGAGACCCACTGGTCACCTGTGTCCACTGAATGGTGTCTACTACTGGGCTGCTATTCAGCTCCTGTTGAGAAGCCACCTACCCACCCACCTACCATGCACCATCAGGAGGCCAAACCGTCAACATTTCTTTAGGACTGCCTTATGTGCTTACTGACATAACAGACAAATTGTTTACATAAAGAAAGAAACAAACAAACAAACAAAAAAGGAAACAAAAAACCCAGCAGCCCTGGGACTCCCTTCCTAGAGCTTCCTATCACATTTGATCGGAAGACCTAACTCCTTGCCCAGGACCAATCAGTAGTAACTCAAAGCCCAGTGGAAAACAGCCACATATTTGTTAAGTGTGTCCAGTAGGGCAGATTTCCTTTTGCAAATCATTGCTTATGCACATTTTGGGTTTTTGTGGTTTTTCAGCTTTTAATTTTGCAACAACTTTTGAGCTCGTCGGCTTTTCTGTGTTGTTTGTTTAATGTATGAAAAAGCAGCAGTAGCAAAGAATGCTTCTCAAGCAGAAGCTAAGTTTCTCAGAACTTAAACTGCCTTCACATTTAGCAAGCTTCTCCATGGTTTTTAGAGGGAGGCAAGAGAGCTCTTTAGAGTCAAATAGACCCAGTTTGGGATTGTGTAAGATTACTGTCTGTCTAATCTTAAATCGTTTATTTTATCTCTCTGAATTTAGATTCCCTTATCTGTAAAATGGAGATAATAAAACCTACCGCATGGGAAGTGTAATGATTGAGTGAAATAAAATACTTGAGGTGGAAAACACACTAAGTGACACCTGGTTTTTCTTCCCTTTTCCCGACAACTGCGATGTAGACCTCAGACAATCAGAAACATTAGACTGTCAGTCTAGAAGGTTATACAGGCTATAATACTTGCCATGAATTTGGTAAAATACTTCACGGGCTTTGTACAGACAAGAAGCTATATCGAGCAGTGCCTTTCGCAGAGTATCCAGGTCCTGATGTTGAATGGCACTGAGTATAATGGGGATTACCTTAAAAAAAAAAAAAAAGACAGACACTTAAGATTCCCTAGCAGTAAACATAGAATAAAATTCTCCCAAACCTTAATCCCTAAATTAAATTTGGGACTTTACGCTTCTTTCCTGGGGTGAGCACCCTATTTGGCTAGTTTCCTTCTACTAATTTTTTATAAGCTTGGCTTTGTCTTTATTCCTTTAATATTTAATTTAGAGATGTTTATATAGTTTTTAATGTATATGTTTCCATTTCTATTTCTACTAGTCAAAACAACTGGATTTACATGGCTATGTCTTAAAGTTCCATTGCCAAATTGCATTGAAAATTTTTATTTTTAAAAGGGATTTCAAATTTGACTCTAAATATATTGCACTCAGATTTTATTTTAGGTGATACAGATCATCTCTTATTCCCAGTTAAATGATCTAATGCTGTATTTAGTCAGGATAAAGTTAATTCCTGCTTAATACAGGTCAGATACTAAGTGATTGCTCTGCTTATGTGAATTGACATACAAATTTTCAAGTGTAGATGGACGTACTTTGATCGCAGAAGCTGCTGCTAATTCCACCAATAGAGAAACCAGGAAGAATCCTTTACCACAGTCCCCACCAGGAAAGTAGAACAAAATGTCCATGTTCCTAAGAAGAGCAGTCAAGGAAGGCAAGGCATTTAGCAAAAATAATGGTATGTTTGTAGAATACCTTACAGTTTTCAAGCATTTCTATTTATCCTATTTTATTTTCAAAATAAATTTTTGAGCAAGTTATGGCAGATCTCACTACCTTAATTACATAGTTAAGAAAGTTAGAACTCAGCTGTTAGATGCATTGTCATGTAATTAATAGTACATACATAGGTTAAGCTAGGACTGAAATTTTATTCTGGGACTTGGAACTAGAAACTCCAAAACTAGTTCTGTTTCTATTACCCCATTAACTTTTTACATATATATCTCCTTTTTACATATATACATTACCATAGATTTATACTCAGCATTTATAGAGATATCTGTGATGCAGAGTTTTGAGTCTTTTAAAAAAAATTAATATATTCTTACTCATGCTTTTATCTGTGAATCTGATTTAATTTCTCAGTGGTTTATTTACTTTATGAAGGAAATGACCAAGAAATTCAAATAATTGGTTAGACCACATTTTTCTACTGAAGTTTTGGCATTGCTGCAAACGTGGTTTCGGCATTTATATCTGTGAATTTTGTGGTGGTTAAATTCACAGTTTCTGAAGCTGGAGAACCTTTGCAACTTATTTGCTCTGTGACCTTGGGCAAGAAATATCATCTATCTCTGCCTCAATGTTCTCATCTGTAAAATGGGACTGATTTTATCATCCTCCTGTTTAAAAACCTTCCAGTTTCTCATTTAAGATACTTTTTTTAAACTATCATATCCAACGAAGTCTTACTTTACCTTTTAAGAAAATATATTTCTTCATCGTTTTTTCATACTGTTACTTTCACTATTCAACATTTGTCAGGGGCATTAGCCATCTTTCAGCTTTGATAACACACCAAGTTTTTGTCACTTCAAGGCCTTCACACTTGCTGGTTCCTCCACTGTTAACGCTCTCATCTTTTCTTCTACTCTTTCTTCTACTTTTTTTTTAGGGCTCAACTTAAATAATTTGCTTCAGTGATTCCACCCTTCACCCCTTTTACTTGGTTAGCGCTCCCAGTATTTTATCTTCTTACCCCTTCTCTTAGTCATATGGCAATGTATTTCACTAATTTTCATAAATCTCCTTCCTTCTCTATTAGTCTAGCTTCACCAGAGCAGGCTTATACCTATAATATTTAGTTCAGTTTCCCCAGCTCTTAGCCTACGTTTAGTACATAGGTCAAAAGCAGTAAGGATTGGATCAAAAAGAACAGGTTTCTTTAGGATTTCTTATTGACACTAATAACTAGTTCTGGCTACAGAGGTTATTAAATCACAGATACACAGATGTATGTGCATTTTCTATTTATGCATATTAATTATATCTATATGTATGCATGTAGTACTTTTGTATCTATCCATAGCTATAACATCAAGTAGATAAAGTCATATCACAGTCACAGATATAATTAAGGACTGGGATTATTTGCTCTTTAAAAAATTACTTAAAAGTATTTGGCCTGAATTAATTGATCATTTAAAGAAGGCTTTTGGGGTATATTGATAAGCCTACATTCACTTTGGATAGCAAATATTCTTTCCATAAAATAAAAATCAAATACTTACTCATAAGTCATGGACCTACGAAAGCAGCCATGAAGCAATGGGCCAATTCAAAAAGAGAGAAACAAAATTAAAAATCAAGTTGTTTTGCATTATTGTTATTACACTGAATACTACTGACCTATCAGACAGAGGTAAGACACAGGTAAAAAAGAAAATTATGTTTTTTGTATTTCTCATACAGGTATTGCCAACATTTAACTAATAAGTGAAATAAAAAATTAAATATGCAAGAAATACATGTGGGTAGTCAGAACTAGCTGTTACTAATAAGCACTTTCTGGATGAAATCCTTCCATTTTGTGGTATTCTTGTGTGCAGAATACTCCTCTATATGGGTACAGACCCATGGGGCATTTGATTTGCTTGTCCCTTATTGTGGCAGGCCCCAAAACTAAATGGGTAGCAGAGGCCTAGACTCTGAGCTGCCTGCCCCGAGAGCCCAGACATCACTGACTCTACTGCTGAAGATGTGTTACGTCTTCAATGAAACTGGCTACTTAAAAATTACATGTGTAGGATCTCAAAAATTTATTAATCAAAGGAAGCCAGACACAAAACAATACGTGCTCCATGATTTGTTGACATGAAACCCAATAACAAAACAAGTTAATTTTTGATAAGACAATGGAGAATATATGTGCCTGAGGCAGGGAATGCAATTGAATGGAATTTTCTGAAGTGATGGAAATATTCTGCTTTTTGCCTAGGGTGGTAGTTACATGCATAGGTACAATAGTCAAATTCAAACTGAATGCTTAGTCCTGAGGCAGGGAATGCAATTGAATGGAATTTTCTGAGGTGATGGAAATATTCTGTATTTTGCCTAGGGTGGTAGTTACATGCATAGGTACAATAGTCAAATTCAAACTGAATGCTTAGGGTTTGTGCATTTTAGTGTATGTGAACTATGCACCTCTCTCTCATGTATGTACAGTACATTTCTAGTTACAGGTGCAGCAATTTGAGAAACCATGCTCAACAACAGAGAAGCAGATGTGCTGCCAAAAATTAAATCAATAAAAAACCACCTTTTGGTTTAAATAGCATGCACTCCTTCAATTTTTGTTATAATAACAGTTTACATACCCTCTGGGATCCTTCTTCTTCCAATTAGCCAAGACACAGTCTGCATAAACCAGAATAGGAGGCAGTCCTAGCTTCTCAGAGAGTTTGCAGTAAGGAACAGCAATGTTGCTTGGCAAGACCTAGTAACAACACATTGTTTAGCTTCAACCATCGAAATGTCTTACCTTTTCTTCTGCCTCCTGGCTACCAAAATATGAGCTGTTCTGTATAATGGCACTGTGAAAACAAACGGATGTAATTTTTTCTCTTTCTCATTTCATAACTTAAATTATTAAATGTTTATATTTTGGATTTGGGTTGATAGAGAGGAAAAAGGGAGCAAGAGGAGCAAAGGCTGCCTCTTTGTCTTTCTGATGGCCTTGGGAGTTAGTCTTCATTCATTCATCCATCTGTCCCGTGAATATCTGTAAGCAATTTTTCTATGCAAGATACCACATTATCCACCAGCAATAAAAAGATAAAATCAATTGTCTCAAAGATGCTTAATATCTTTGTAATCAACACTTTTGGATAGGATGCATACTAGAAGTGTAGACAGATTGCTGCTCTCACAACACAGTGCAGAAAGAAACTCTCTCCTGGATGATGTTTTTGAAGAAAGCTTCACCATACAGCGACATTACGCTCGGCCTCTAAGACATACTGGCGCTGGAGGGGGATCTCCTTTCCCTTTGCTTTGCATTTCCACGTGGAAATACATCAAGTGGGATGATGCGCTTGGCTCAGCTCAGCTCTTTCACTCACCCTTCCTCAGAGGTGGCACAGAAGCTCTGCCCCTTTTTCTCCCAACTCTTCTTCTCCTGAGCCTGCTACTCGCAGAATTCTGCTGTGTTCAGCCACATACGTTGCCTGCCCCCACAGGGCGATGCTGCAGTGGTCCAGCCCTGCCTGAGCTACATGGGAAGTCAGCCTGATTCTGGGGTGCACTTTTAGCTAGCCGCAGGACATGTTCCCCAACAGACCACGTTCTGTTTTAGTCATAAAGTTGAACGTTTATTCTTTATCTGCCTCACTTTATCTATCTGTCTTTTGGCTTAGAATTGGATGGTCCTATGTAGGAATTAGGTGATCATTATCATTAGCCGTCTTTGGCTGGAATATGCGGATCTAACCAGGGCTGTGTGGCCAGTCTGGGGTACTGGGTGGTAGAACTTCGATGGTAACGATGGCATGATGACAAAGCCCACTCCACAGTTTTGTGAAAACCATGGGAGTTACAACTCAGGTGCCTTGAGATTAGCTTAGTAGGCCTGGCAGAGATCCAGGCGTGAGAACAGAAGCACTGGCCATCAAATTACACCCGTGCGTGTGCTTCCCTTTGCAGGACTCGTGCTTCTGGGACCAAAACCTTCTGGTTGGCGAATTATTTAGGCATGTTTCAAAAGGAAATAAATTTTGCCCCTCTCTGATTTAGAGAAAAGATCAAAGGAGACCAAAGAGGAAAAAGTTTTATTCAATAATTAATTTGAAATGACCTCAGAAAAAGAAAGTAAACGTTCAAACGCATCTTAATCTACTGTAGACATTCTCGCAGCTGCTTAGAAACTCAGATTCTAACTTCTTGTCCATTCTCAAGGAAAATGCGCCTTACGTTGATATGGTTTTTTTGTTCATTTATTTTCTTTTTCCTATAATTTCCTCACTTAATGTTTTTTAATATATATATATATATTGCTACCTTCTAAGATCCTCTTCAGAATGATGGAGTATACAAAACTCAGAAAAATTTAAAAAATACATTTACATCTTTTCTTTCATAATTCTGATCTCCAGTCTGATAAATTTATTATTTTTTCAATTAGGCTATGTATATTCTGGTCTCCACGTTTTTTGATAGTGTCCTTTCTTTTTCCGTTCCTCTCTTTTGCATTTCTTGATTATACTGACTACTATTTAAAACCTCTGAGCACCCAGCATATGGTGCCTGTCATTACTAATACTTCTACGTGTACATGTACATATAAATCTACTAGCTTAGTAAGTATGTTTGTATACTAAGCTAGATTAAATTTGTAGCAAATCTAATGAGACTTTGCACTTAGCTAGATTTTAAGTTAGGTTGTAAAACTAGAACTAGTCTTAAAACTTTTTGCATCATCCCAGAATCTAGACGTGGCAGTTTGATGACTAGAAGGAAGTGTAAGGTGTTCCCGTGGTTACACAGAGCAACTTCTCCACATATCAGGAGATGACTCGTCGCACAAGTGGACTGCATGTGCTGCTCTGTCTTCAAGCAGGTGTGGGAAGAAATAGCTAGATTATTACCTTTCACCAATTACCTTTGTCAAAAAGAAAAGTTTTCACTAAGTATCAGAAGCTGCCTCTGAAATCTATTTTATCCTTTTGGGATTTACAAGTTAGGTATTGCAGTCTGTATGAGTTTTATGTAATTAGGATTGCCAAATAAAATACAGGATGTCAAATAAATGTGCATAATATGTAACACATATAATAAAAAAGTACTGTTTATCTGAAATTCAAATTTAACTGGGTCTGCTGTGTTTTTCCTCGCTTATTCTGGCCTCCCTCCCTACATGGAGAAGGAAGACAGCGACTTTAGGTGCAGTACTGAGGAGCTAAAGGGCAAAGGTGCACAATTGGCACACGTTATTTGACCTCCTCCATTCTTCTATCCCTCACTGATCCCTAGGAAGAGGTTACTAAAAACCTCTTTTAATTAGATTTAGAGCGAAATTGTTATCAAGCTTAATTTATAGTGGCTATTTAAAGTATCATAATTGATACTTTTATATAAAAATAAGAATAACACATAAATAACACATAAATACACATATAAGATGACATTATTGTTAAATTAAGGTTATCTCATGTTGATAAGATTAGAGTAAAACCAATATATTCTCCTCTGTTGACAGATGTAAGATAGCCTTTTAGCATTATAAATATTAATAAACTATGCATACCTTCCAAACATCTTAAATAGAGAACACTGGTTCATATTTAAAGATATTCATTGCAGTGTTATTTATAATAGTGAAATATTAAATACAAGTAAAGTATTTATTGATACAGGACTTAGTAAGTAAACTAAAGTTCAGAAACTCAATGAAAATTGCAGTCATTTCAAATGACTAGTGTGATTGTATAGTGACTAAAAAATGCTTACAATATAATTTAAGTTAAAGAAGCAGGATATATAGGTATATGCACATGATAGATCAACTGTTATATAAGTAAAAGACTGAAAACATAATAATGATAACAGTTGACATGTTAAGTCAGTGAATGATTGTTCTCTCTTTTCCATTTTTCCCATTACCCAAACTTTGCAAAGTGCAGTTATAATACATTTAGAAATGTCTTATGCTAAACGTAAATTGGATGTACATCTCTCATGCAGCATCAGAAGTATCAGAAAATCTCCAAACCTTACGGACATCTCCATCACCTCGACCCCACACGTATGCCATGGTGATGTACCCCAGAACCAGGTGTGCAAGGCGCTGCACCTTGTGCCCCTGGAGGTCATCAACGCTGAGCATCGGTAACTGAGAACAGATGGAGAGATTGACTCAAATCAGCCTGGTGATGTTTTAGGCTTCAAAACAAAGTTCAAAATGTCACGTTAAGAAGCTGTAAAATATATGTTCTCCCTCATACGTGGAAACTTTAAAAAGCTGGTCTCATAGAAGCAGAGAGTAGAACAGTGGTTATTAGAGAATGCTGGTGGGGGGAGAGGCTGGTCGGTGGGTACAGAACAGCGGACAGACAGGAAGAATGTCATTAGTGTTCTGTAGTAATGTGGGGAGACTACAGCTAAAAACTAACTGCTGTGTGTCTTCGAATGGCTACTCAAGACGATGCTGAATTCTCCTAACACAGAGAAGTGACAGATGTTTGAGGTGAAGGATATACTAAGCACCCTGATAGGATCATTGCACACGGTATGAATATACTCAATTATCACATTGTACTCCAAAAATAAATAAAACTATCACAGATCAATTAACAAAAATAAATTTTAAATAGAGGAAAGAAGGGAGTGAAATAGAATAGTGGTATCAAAGGCAGGGAAAGGGAGTGGGGAAAGGGGCCAGGGAAAGGCTGGTAGATGGTACAAAGTTACAAAGTGACAGGTACAAAGGAAGAATAAGTTCTGATGCTCTAGGGTGACAATAGCTAATAATATTGTATCGTGTATTTCAAGATATCCAGAAAAGAGGATCTTGAATGTTATAACTGCAAAGAAATGATAAATGTTTAGGTGACAGATATGCTAACTATTCTGATTAGATCATTACATAATATATGCATTATTGAAACAATGAACTGTACCCCATAAACATGTACAAATAAAATTTTAAAAATAAATTTAAATTTAAAAACAGTTTTAAAAGAAGCTACATGAAAAGAAGACAAATGTAATACATATTTCAAACCTTTTCAACTTCTGCCCGAAGCTGGCCAATCTCAATCAGTTCCGGCAGATTTTTAGCAATGAAAATCCAGGCATCGTAATCATGAGGTAGTTCCTCCTTGAAAAAAAAAAA